GTTTGCGAGAAATCGGAGACCAAAGTTCAGTTTGATGCCATTTTTTAGTCCAAGAAAACCGACATCTCTACTGTTTATCGATAACTTTGAAACATGAATTTTCTTATCTTTTGGTAAATATATGTCAAAACTTTGATTGTTTCGAGATCAGAGAAGAATTTTGGAGTGTCAAAATAAAAGTTAAACTTATATATTCAGTAGTTCATTTTTTCCAAAAAAGTGTGGGAAATGGGGTTTAACATGGGCCAGACCCATTCCAAATGAGCCATGATTTTTAAATGTTTTACGAACTTAAATGCAAAATAAATTAAACATGGCCAATTTCTTATGAAATCATATATTAGTAAATCATAAAATACCTTACTTTTTCAAATAAAATGTAATAATCTTATGACCTTGAAGTCTAGTGATGTGTAAACATTGTCGCTAGACATTAACCGGTTGATAACTGTATGATAATCGACAATTTTTTTCGCGATTCACGTGATGATACTTTGTCAGGTGAATTCTAAAATTTTGTTTTGTCCAGTGAATAAATCATAGGCCGATCTGAGAAAACTTTTTGAAGGTGGCAGTCTTCCTTTAACGTATCCGTGGGAGTAGGACCATTTAAATCCGCTCCGTACTCTAGTAATTTTAGTGACAAGACAAGGCTCTGAATTCTGAGCTGAGCAGACCATCAACTAAAACATATGAAAGACATTTTATTCGAGTGGATTCTCGTGGACAGTCATTTGCCAATTTGTTTATGGGTAACACTGAGGTTTTCGCGAGTTTTACGCTGACAGAAGCCACACACAGAAAAATATTGACACCGTTAGCGGTGTAATTGCACAGTACATATCTGAGCACTTGAGGAAAGTTAATTTAGTCCCTTCCCCGCTTAAATTACTCGCGCTTCTAAATGAACACCAGGAAGAAGGTAATAGAACACTGTTAGGAGGGTTGGGTGTTTTACTACATGTAGCAAAACACCCAACCCTCCTAACAGTGTTCTATTACCTTCTTCCTGGTGTTCATTTAGAAGCGCGAGTAATTTAAGCGGGGAAGGGACTAAATTAACTTTCCTCAAGTGCTCAGATATGTACTGTGCAATTACACCGCTAACGGTGTTAATATTTTTCTGTGTGCAGCTGTATCCTGTGCTGAAGCACGGCACATGATCCGTAATAGGCAGGACTCCTTAACTTGTTCTCGCACATTACACATTTGCGGCCATGTGACTTGGCATGAGGAAGTCCGATAGAAAGGTTTCAATGCGTTTTCCCGCAAACAAAAATGCAACAAATGAACTTCGGCGGCTAGCCTACTCATAAAAGTGCGTTACGAACAAAGTACAAATACCAGCTGCTCCCAACTCCATCCAATGGCAATGAATTTCCTTCTAACGGCCTCACTCTTGGAGGACCACCTCTCTGATGTTACAGATTATGCCAGATAACTCGAAGCTCCACCTGACTTTTGTGCATAAGAAATTGAAAATCGCTCAATCTTGCTTGATCCAAGGTGATAGCTGATGAGGCATCGCTTGTAAAGCATTATCCGGGCAACTTTCGGTTTGATATATTCACAAATACTTATCGCATTGAAGAACAGTACATTCAATCCACGTATAATTGTTTGAACACAACGGTGCATTTCAAATATTTGACACCGATAATTACATGTATTGGAGAAGCCTCATGCAAGTCAAATATTCAGGGTGTCCGGAAAGATTAGATGCACATGTCAACGACTGAAAGCAGGCCAAAAACTTAATTTTCGCAATTGGAATTTGGTTGATCTCCGTCCTGTCACGTCCCTCCACCTGATCAGCGTTTACTTTTCCGCTTTTCACCCTCATATAAGTGGAGTTGTGTGGCAAGATGCCGCCAATGATTTCCGGACACCCTGTATAGCAACTGCTACATCGGGAACAGTTACATTCAGCTGCCATTTACATACATACACCATTATAGACTGAGCCATTTACACCAATTAAGCAATGACCATTCAACAGCCTCCAACACTATGCTGATCATTAAACGCACGTCTAAAAAACTGACGTTCAATCCCAGTGAACACGTTCCAATGAGATCAATATGATCATTGACACACGACGCTGAGGTTTTCAGTTTCCACCTCAGTGCTCACATGTAACATGAGCATCTAATTATCTATGCACATCGCGCTCTAAAGCATGATTGCTTTTATCGCATTTCGAAAGCATGCCTCGGTTTTTAACCCGGCGCCGGCAGGCGGTGGGCCTACCAGCCACCTTCCGCGCGGTGGGGGGGGGGCATTTTTTTGCCCCCCCCCCCGTATCTCCGAAACTACTGGACGGTTCCGGAAAATTCAAACGGCGTTCGATAGCCCTGTCAAATTTGTCAAGGAAAATCAAATTTCATTGACCTCGGGGTCACCGATGACGTCACAGGTCCGGTCAAAGATAAAATGTTTCACCGTTCACGGGGCTTCTAGGGAAAGCGCTATAACACCGAGTAAAACGCATTTTGTCGAAAATCAGCGATAAGGCGTCAGTTGTCTAGTATATATGTTGCTTTTAGTGGTCACTGGTCATACCAGGTCAGGTCACAGGTCAGGTCACCAAAGGTCATCAAGGGTCACCACATAAGCCCAACTTTACTAAGGTTATGTGATGCATGTTTTATGGCCAGTTTTTCATTTCCAACTCAATGGTGTTGGTTATAAGACCATCAGGTACGGTTTAGGTCACTTTCTGGTGGAGGTCAGGTCAATGTCGCAAAAAAAAAACAAACAAAAAAAAATGTCAGGTTAAAAAAGATCAAATTCCAAAGTTGATATTTTTGCATAAATGGGTATCGATTCGATGCAGCTCGTCACGGGGAGTCTAATGGTGGTCTTTGTTTTGCGCTAAGAGGTCTAGAATTGCTAGAAATTGAGTTTGAAAATTTGACGTCATCAATTTTGAACAGTCTTTTCGCTATAACTTGGCCAAAAAAAGAGGTATCGATCTCAAATTTGGTATGTATGTAGATAGAAGGCGGTGGGGACTATCACATACAGGGTGGGGCAGCATAATCGGGAATGCTTTTTGGGCTCTGGTCATGAGTAGGCATGGCATTATTTTGATAAATTATATCATGGCAATGAAACGCCCAAAAGTTGTGCATCATCTGACATGACTACATCCATGAGCATGCAACTTCCTGGAAAAGAGCAGCAAAATAGTTCGACGGTGCTCCAAGTGCTTTGCGCGCGCCCATAGACACTAATGTTAAACGAGTAAAACAAGAACATTTTGTTTAAAACAATGCCATTCCACGTAAAGGTTGCTGGACAGGTCAACGTGTTATCACGGACGATAAGGATTGTGTGGGGATACTTAGGACAAAAAGTTAACGTAATCGTCGTAAAATAACTCTTAGCAGAGGACATACAAGATGACTCACTTGAATATAAGGAAGAAGCTCTTGAGCATATTAAAAAGAAACAATGTTCAAAACTTCAGCGACCAAAAATCTTATCACCGACTGGAATACGATAAAAAAGAATGGCATGCCATATAGGGGATTGTATCGAGAATATTGCAGCGGTCATGCAAAGTAAACATCCTGTTGAGGTGATGGACCTATGGGTGGTCTTCAAGGGAGGTGCACGTGGTGCACCCTACTTCATCGAGCCCGGATAAAACGAGCACCTCTGGTAAATACATCCACACTCTGGCAGACTCACGTGGAGTCGTCGGAAGAGAGGATCACTGACGGTCCAGATCACGTCTTACGAGGACTCTGTCCGTGCTGGTACTGCAGTGAGGACGACATGTTATTGTGTAGGGCACCTCCACCTGAGATGAACCAAAAACTTCTGGTCCTTCAACTCCGCCGATTTAAATCCGACCAAATTCTTTATATGGAGCGTTTTTTGGTAGAAGTTTAATGAACAACTTATCATCAGTAAAAACGGTCTTCAGTGCAAGGTACGAAGCTGATGGGCGATCATGGACAAGCAGGAGGCTGCACGTGCATGCGCGTGCTTTTGGACCCGCCTTGAGAAGGTCATCGACGCGAAGGGCGGTCAAATAGGATGAGGGATAGGTAAAAGGTGACCGATTGATGGGATGTTGTTAAAATAGTGCTTGGAGCTATATTTTTAAATTCATGACCAAATAATCCCGTTTGATATTTATTCCCGATTATGCTGCCCCACCCTGTATATTCCTATTTTTTCGAAATTCAAAAAACGTTTTGGATTTTTTGGCTATTATATTCAAACAATCTATTTTTTTATTTTTGGGGGTCAAAATTTAAAAAAAAATCGAAAAAGCGAAATAGCAGTTTTGTAGCCCTTTTGATTCCACACCTTTTATGTCGGAACATTTTTCTGTATCTCTAAAGCTGTAGGCATGACAGCTCTTCCCGCGAAACCTTTTTTTTTTGGTCGAAAATGGCAAAAATGACGTCACTCTGACGTCATTAGCGGCCAACCTATCATAGCCTTTGGAAACATTTTTGGTCACCATGTGCGCTAGCTGCTCCCGGGAGGGTACTGAAAGTTTGGTGACGATCGGCGCAGCGGTTCTCGAGATATATCGAAAAAACTAAAGGGGGGGCAAAAAATGCCCCCCCCCCCACCGCCTGGAAGGTTAAGACCTACATATTATCGAAACCAAAGTAGATACTGTCATTTCCTGACAAAGGGAATATTGCGAATAATTTCCAAAGGTAAATTCCATCTTGTTGAGCAAGATTCAAGTACACCATTCACCATAATCACTGCGGCTTGTCTCTCCTAGATAATATCTTATGGAGACTTTTCCTCTAAAGCTTTCCTCGTGTCTCTACAGAACGTGACATCTGCCTCATCAGATTCTCTCGGTCATCACAGATACTGCCGATATCAGCAATAGTTTGCCAGCAGCTGAGCTCAGCTTACTACAACTCAGCTGTCGTGCCAGCTAACTGGCCATCACAGCACATACTTCTTAAGGTCCTGCAGTCCGCAGGCTCTCTCGACCAGCCCTCAGTCCCGACCAGCCCTCAGTCCCGGTCCAGCCCCACGTCGGCGGAAGGGCGGCGCGCGTTCGTGGCGGCCAGCGTCCGCAGCGGTATCGCAGTCTCGCCGTTTTGGCGCAGCGTCGACAGACGCGACGTTGAAGTTGTTGTGGAGCGGCTGAAGCGATACCGATACGACATGAACGGCATCGACGTCTGCGTCCGGCTCAGGCCGCCCCAGTGGCGGTCGCCGCGGCGCCGCTGCAGAGCTCGCAGCCGCCGCAGCGCCAGCCGGATCTCAGGCATCCGTAGTGCGTAGATGATGGGATTCACCAAGCACTTGAGGATAATGAGTGTGTTGACGAGGATGTTGAGCGCCAGGTGCGCGCGCCTACCGAGCGGCGCCGGTCCGGCCGCACAGTCGACACAGAACAGCGCGAATGTTAGCACTGCAGGCATCCAGCCGAAGACGTAGGTCCCGAGGATGAGCAGCGTTGTCACTACCGCCTTGACGTTCTTCCGCAGCTGTGACGTGTTGTGGTTGCGCAGCGCTCCGGTCTGGTGCTGGCGGACGATGATGAAGATGTGCGTGTAGGCCACCACCATGCACGCCAGAGGCACGAAGAACAGAACGGCCACAACCTCGCGGAACGTGTGGTAGCCAATGAACGCCGGCGGCGCGTCGCACGAGGCGAACGCGTCCACGGTGGCAAAGTAGGCCAAGAAGAAGACGACCGGTGCCAGCCAGAGTCCGGGCAGCGTGAGCAGCACCCTACCGCGCGTCACCAGCCGGTTGTAGTGCAGCGGACGCAGGATGCCGATGTAGTGGTTCATGGCCAGCGCCAGCAGGTGCGCCGCCGTGGAGATGATGCCGCCCAGCCGGAGCGCCTCGAACGCCAGCGCCCAGCAGTAGTCCCAGACGTGGCTGACGGACAGCACCTGCGGCAGCAGGCTGTTCACCAGCAGCCCGATGCCGAGCAACAGCGCCGCGAACGCGTCCGCACCCGCCAGGCTGACCGAGAAGCAGAGGGTGGGGCTGAGCGGCCGGCGCACCAGACGTGCCGACAGACAGATGGCCAGGTTGGTCAGCGACGCCACGGCGCACAGCAGCAGCATCACCGGGATCCAGATAAGGTAGATGAGCCGGCGCTCCAGCTCCTCTCGGCTCGCCGGCGCCTCGGTGTCGTTCGACGATGACGGCGGCGCTGTCGTGTTCGGGAACAGCGCTGAGGTGGTGTTCGGGAGTATTGGTGACGTTACTTCGTGCAGCACCAGTGGTGTGATGGTCGGCACGGTGGTGAGCACTGCTGACGTCATGTTCAGCCGTCAGCTGACGCTGGGTGCGGACGGGCCGACTCTGAAGCAGAGAGAGCGCATTGTGAATGCGATCTTATGTGCAATATTCCTGGCCATTTTGGGCAGTTGCTCCAACACATTAAAAAAGTCGGGTTAGCAAAAAAGTCATTTAAATTATTATAAATTGGAAAACATTCGCCATCAACCTTAATCATTTACATTGGATAACTCACGGCCCAGTTAAAGCCATTTATAGGATGACAAATAGCGATATTTGTCCTTTCGGTGAATGGCATTATGATTCAATTTCCTGAGTGATTTATTAAATGTGGAACGAAATCGTCACTGTCCGAAAGAATTAAAAGATGAATTTATAGGATATCTGTGATCAATACCGGGTTGTTCTTGATGCTGGAAGATTCGCAGATGATTTCTTTTGAAGGCATTTGATAGCTCCAATTTCCAACTGCCCGTCATAAACATTCACTGGACTCCCAGCTGCCTTTAGTCCATGCATGGTTGGTGAGAAGGTGAGCCAAACAGGGTTAATGCAGTGCAAGACGACAGCTTGAATGGTGCATGTGAGTCTGTCTGTGGTGCACATCTGTTGCTGGAACAATTGGTGCAGATATAAAAGCCTGGGTCTTCAAACGTAGCTGGAATGAAACCTTTCCGTTGAAGACCGTCCAATGCCTATTGTTCGAATCAACAAAGGACCTTCAGTAGTTCGGCCTCGGAACAATGAAGCGTACTCATGCCTAACCGAGTAAGCGCAGACACGCTATCCACCCTTCCCCTACGGTGATTAATTTGTTCCGGCTCTCCGTTCAGTTATATGCCTTCCGAAACCACTGATAACTGGGGAAGAATATCTGCTAATTCTGTTGCCTAAGTTAACTCCAATTCCGCATCACAGGTTGTCCGGAGAATTTAGTGGAGGAACTTTGACGTGCTCTGAAGTTGAAGCCCGACACATCCATTCCCTGGTGCCATCGGACATGTTTACGGCATCGGCCACAGACTGACGAGAATCCAAACTGGGCCACCTACACAACCAGAAAAGAGCAGAAATACGACACCACGGCGCGACAGGAAATGATGCGTTTAACGCTATAGAACTTTCAAAATCAGGCCTAAAAGTACTGTCAATGCAAAAGACGGTATCGCAAAAGAATCTAGAAACTTGTGGTCCTGCGTTTAGTCAAGGGTTGTTAGGGGGAGGGCAGTCGGTCAGATTGGTCTCTGTTGGTTTCACTCCGACCCACGCCCGCCAGCGGAACCTCAGCTGCCCACGGGCCGCGGCCAGAGGCCGACCGACGGAGCCTCGGGTGAGCGCCAACCGGCCGGATAGCTTGTTTATCCGAAAGGTGAATTATTCTCAGTACGAGCGGTCCGGCTGGGACCGGCTGGCCGCACCGCTTCCATGCCCTGGCTTAGGCTCTCAGAGGGCAGGCAAAGTGGGCCTCATCAGCTTGTGTATCTATTGCAAACATCAGGGCAGATCCATGAGCATCTGAAAGGTGAGGCCAAGTGCTCATAACTTTTTTCGTTAGGATGAGCCCGCGGAACCTAATCTACCCCCCAAATCCTATTTTCTTCCCAGATTTCGACATTTTGTAAGGCACTTTGATGCTCGACCGTAAACGATCCTTTCTGGTCTGCGCAACATGGCGGCACCCACTGGACATTATCCTGCGGCCGATGCTCCTTCCAGAGTAAAGAGTTCAGTGAAACAAACACAAGCATTTCAATGTTTTAATGTGAATAAATGAGTCGGCTCTGAGAAAGAACACGGATGAAAGGTGGGGCCAAAAGATATGTTGGCCCCACCCCTACTGCATTAAAGGTGGGGCCATGGCCCCGTTGCCCCCCCCCCCCCTCCCACCCCATCCCAACCCCTTGGTCCACCCTTGAGAAAACACACAAAAATCAGCTCGAAATTGTGCTTAGAAAACCGTTGATGTGCGTGGCGAATAGGTAGAACTAAACGCCTTTGATAGTATAATGAAATTTAGCTCAGTTTTAGCGATGGATTCGACGGCTCGGCCTTCAGCTACAAGAAAGGTCATCGACAGTTTGAAAGTTACTCCAGTCTTTTATCTCAGGCTGCTCGAAGTATTCAGAGCAGAGGCTATGAGGACCTCCTACCCATTACGAGCGAGGTTACTTTGACAGATTTTATCCGGGACTGAGAGCTCAATGTGTTTAGCAATGAAGTCGGACGTTACGACATTGATGTGAGGTTACGATATTAAACTTATCCCATTATAAATCCCTGCATTTGCTGCTCAGTGTCCAGTAAAGACCATAATAGCTCGTTAAGCTTCGCATTGACTAACATCATCAATGCGAAAATCGCGAGTGCGCTATAGTAACCTAGATGGGAGCACCCAGTCCATTTCTCTTATTTTGTTTTGTGCAAAGGCAATTCCGCGTCACAGAATAATGATTGATACCTAGGTACGAGAGCACCCATACCCTGGTGTATCGTCTTTTCAGAAGCCGCATCAAGGCGTATGACCTCTTCATGGCATTAAAAGATGGCAATGGAAGATATTATATCATTATATGGGCAATGCGCATATCATCAATTTTAGACAAGATGTGTCAAATGGCTTTTCCGTGATCAATGTCAACTGATACAACTGATAACAGAAACGACAGGAAAACACAAATATGTATATAGCATCCAAATCACAATCTCATGTAGATATAGGTATGTACCTATATCTACATGAGATTAATAATATGTGATTAACTTCTACAGTCTACTCATGTCATGCAATAGCGAAAAATATCTAATTTAATTCAAGAACAGTTTTCAATCATAATGAGATAGGTATCATACATCTCTCAGAAAAATTTTCATGAAATTCGCTAAGTAATTCACGATTGATTTGAGAAACATGTTATTGCTTATGTGTTTTAAAAACAAGTGACAAAAGTCGTAGATACGCCTGGAGCCACGTGACTAGAATCACACTCAGATGGCCAGTCACGTGACTGGTGTGGTCAATATGACCTGTCCCCGCAACCCTCGTCCTGTTGCTTCGCTGGGACCACTGATGTGGTGCGCGGTTGGAGTCGCTCTCTCACATTTATCTTGTGAAACTACTCCCGTGCTGCCTCGGCGCGCTGCTGTCGGCTGCGGCAGACAGCTGGGTGCTTCCAGGCTCCGGACAATCCTTCAAAAGTCCAATTATTGCATTACGGTTCCGGCATTCGAATGGCATGTGCGGTCAGGAGGGTTGGGAAAAGTCGGCGTCTTTTAACATTCGTTTTAAGAAGGTAGTCAGTGAAAGAGACAAGGAGCCGAGCAAATCTGCGAAACTGTCGTGCTGTAGCTTCAACAGCATGTGTTGTGTGTATTGTGTGGTGCATGTGTGCATGACATGTGTATTGTGTTTGGTGTAGCATACATTCAGCTATGTACATTTTCAGCGTATAGCATCCGCAAACATGCATGACGGTCGTCACAGCCAGTTCCCGCCTGCAGTCAAAACCAGACCAATATGGGACTGGCAGGCGTAAAACTCGTCCAGCAATTGGCATGTCATCCCCTGGCACCTCTTCTCCCCTCCAATTGTCGGCCAAAGTCGTCAGCGTAATAGCTCACCCGGCTGGTGAAATATTGCAGGGAAAGGACTTGGCTGCTCCAAGGTACGAGCGCCGTATGAACGAAACGTTGAGCCCTGGATGAGTTCCGGCTCGGCTCAGTATCGCAGTCAGCTCAGAAAGCAGAGCATTGTCTAGAGGTAAACACTTATTGTTTGGTGGTGTCACATGTAGTTATTTTATTATGTCATCTCTCGCTCGTAAGTGTGATTTATTGTATTGATAGCATACGCACCGTACGATAGCATACGATAGCAGACCGTACGCACCATAGAAACCCATAAATGAGAGGTTGAGCCCTGAAAATAAGACAAGCTTGATGTGGTGACGTAAAATAACTTTTGATTTAAATCGAAGAATACTAGTAAAATTGCGTCTCTCAATATGAAACTTGTTTTGAGTGATAGTGAACAAGAATGACCGGGGTGGCACCAATTCCCTCGGCCGTAAAATCTTAAAAGCACGCTAAAAACGGAAACAGAGTAGACAGAGAACTGGAGACAGTGCAAGGGTGAACCAGTGCATTTTTATTACGATTTACGATACGATGAGACCATTTGGATCGATGCTAATAATTGCGTGCTCTAAAATAGATGGATTGGCAAGTTTAATGTGATGAAGAGGAGAGCCAGGCAATCATGCTGTTTGCTGCTAGACTTGTATCTGAAATTCATGATGACGAGACCGGTTCTTGAATATTGAGTAATGGTTGAAATTTCAGTGCCTATTTGTGTACGGCAAGACCATCATTCTCGTTCTGAGCTCTGAGTCGTTAAATGACTTTACAGCTGGTAGATTTTGATATGCATTGTCGTTAGCTTTTCCTGTTCGCATTATTGTAGTTGGGATGGTGTGCTAGCGTTGCTGTGTCCTGAGTGCCGGTCCTTAGGTTAGCCGTTATTATCGCCCTGACAGGTATCTATCTTTGCCGACTGGCAGTGGCTAGACAGTAGGTCCGAGCCCAACTAGCCTCAGCAGGCTCCTATGATTATTGTCTTAGTCGGTGCCAAGCGCCCGAGGGCGCACTCCCCCCCCCCCCCTGTGGATCTGTAACACCACCAATTACTGGGAACAGAGAGGACCAAAGCAACTGGAACAGCGTGGTTGCATAGGAGGAGCTCGTATCAAGGGATCTTAACCCTCGCCGGCCGAGGGGGGGCGGTGCCGCCCCGCCCATAGGTTTTTTACGGCAAGACCATCTTCAAACACGCTGGGGATAGATAGGCAAAACTTAGCATACTTGACCTTTGATTCAAACCGCGGCTTTTGACACCAACCGCATTTTCAGGTCAGGTCAGGTCACTGACCTATGCCGTCATAAGTGAACCTCTGCAAGGTCTTCAGATGTCACAACTTCGCAACGCCCTCACTGCCAGAGGAGCTTTCACAGGGAAATGAAACTTGCA